TTAGTGCATAGTGATAGACACATGTCTAGTTTTAGTCTTTAGCATGTGGAAAGCCAGGTTTTCCAGTACCATTTATTAAAGAGGCTTTCTTTCTTCCAGGGAACATGTTTGGTCCCTTTGTCAAAGATAAGGTGGCTGAGTGTGTTTGTAGTTGTGTCTCCATCTTCTAATCTGTTCAGTTGATCTTAAGGTCTGTTTTTTTTGCCAGTACCATGCTGATTTTGTCACAGTAGCTTTGTAGTATAATTTCAAGTCAGGGATTGTGATGCCTCCTGCCTTTCCTTTGTTGTCCAGGATTGCTTTTGCTTTTCTAGGCCTCTTCAGGTTCCAGATGAATTTTAGGAATGTTTTCTCTAGATCTGTGAGGTAGACTACTGGTATTTTAATTGGGATGACATTGAATCTGTACAAAAATGTTAAGAGTATTAGCCATTTTCACAATGTTGGTTCTTCCTATCCATGAACAAGGAATATCTTTCCATTTTCTGAAATCCTTTCAATCTCTTTTTTCAGAGTATTATAATTTTCAATGTATAGATCTTTTGCTTCTTTTGTTAGACCAATCTCTAAGTATTTCATGTTTTAGATACTATTATGAAAGGTGTGGTTTCCCTAATTTCTCTCTCAGTTAGTTTGTTGAGTAGAGGAATGCTACTGACTTTTGAGTGTTGACTTTGTATCCAGCTATGGTACTGAATTTGGTTATTAAACCTATAAGCCTTTTGGTGAAATTTTTGGGGTTTTTTATGTAGAGTATCATGTCATCTGAAAATAATAATTTCACTTCTTCCTTTCCTATTCTTATTCCTCTTTTTTCTCTCTTGTCTAATTGCTCTGGCTAATATTTCCAGGACTGTATTGAATAGGAGTAATGATAGTGGACATACTTGTTACCGATTTTAAAGTGAAGGCTTTCAATTTTTGACCATTTAGTATGATGTTAGCTATTGGTTTGTCATAGATAGCTTTTATCAGATTGAGGTAAAGGCCTTCTATTTCTCTTTTCTGTCAGGTTTTCATCATGAAGGAGTGTTAGAATTTATCAAAGGCTTTTTCTTCATCAATTGAGATGATCATATGATTTTTGCCTTTGGCTGTATTGATATGGTGTATTACATTTATTGATTTGCATATATTGAACCCTGCATTCCTGGGATAAATCCCACTTGGTCATGGTGTATAATCTTATGATTTGCTGCATTCTGTTTGCTAGTATTTTATTGAGAAATTTTGCATCTATATTCATCATGGAGATTGGCCTGTAGTTCTCTTTTTTGGTTGGGTCTTTGTCTGGTTTTGGTATCAGATTAATACTTGCCTCCTGGAATGATTTGGGAAGAATTCCTTCCCTTTTAATTTCATTAAAGCATTTGAGAATTGGCATTAAATTTCTTGTAGAACTCAGCTGTGAATCCATCAGGACCTGGGCTTTTCTTCATTGGCAAGTTTATTTATTATATTTTCAATTTCACTGGCTGATATTGAATTATTCAGGATTTTTATATCTTCTTCATTCAGCTTTGGTAATTCATATGTATCTAGAAATCTGTCCATTTCCTCTGTGTTTTCCACCTTATCAGAGCACAGATTTTCAAAGTAGGTATTGATGATCTTCTGAATTTCTACAGGATCTGTAGTGATTTCATCCCTTTCATTCCTTATTGCATGTATGTTTTTTCTTTCCTTTTTAAAATAAGGTTGAAAAAAATAAGATTGGCTAAGGTTTTATCTATTTTGTTTATTCTTTCAAAGAACAACCTCTTTGATTCATTAATTGTGTGTGTGTGTTTTTTTTTTTTTAAGTCTTCATTGCATTTATTTCTGCCCTGAGCTTTTATCCTGCCATCTTTGGGCTTGACTTGCTCTTCTTTTTCTAGAAGCTTGAGGTGCAGCATGATCACTTATTTATGCTTGTTTTGTTTTCCTGAGGTGGGAATTCACCACTGTAAATTTCCTTCTGAGGACTGCTTTCATTGCATCCCACAGGTTCTTGTAAGTTGTATGTACATTTTCATTTGGTGGTAAATAGTGTTTCATTTCTTCTTTGATCCCATCTGTGACCCACTAAAATTGTTAAGGAGAAGTTATTTAATTTCCATGTGTTAATGGAGTTTTTATGATTTCCTTTGTCATTAATTTCCAATTTCATTACACTATGGTCCAATAGTATGCATAATTTCAATTCCTTTGCATTTACTTAAGCATGTTCTATGTGCTAGTATATGGACTATTTTAGAGAACATCCCATGTAAAGCTGAGAAGAATGTGTATTCTGATGCTGTTGGTTGGAAAACTCTGTAAAGATCTACTAAGTCCATTTGTTCACAGGTTTGGTTTCACTCTGATATTTCATTGCAGATTTTTTGTCTAGCTGATCAATCTCTCTGTAACAATAGTGTGCTAAAGTACCCTGTTATAATTGCGTTGCTGCTTACTTCATTTTTCATGTGTTAAAATTTGTCGTATATAGTTCAGTGCTCCTGTATTTTTTGCATAGATGTTCATGATTGTTATCTCTTTCTCTTGAAGTTTTCCCCTCACACTATGTAGTGATTTTTTTAAAAATCTCTTTTAATCATTCTTGGTCTGAAGTTCTCATTGTCAGCAAACAGAATAGCTACACCCACTTTTTTCTGGGTTCCTGTCGCATGGAATATTCCTTTCCATTCTTTGATTTTCAGTCTATTAATTTCTTTTTGAGTTAAATGTTTCTTATATTCAGCATATTGTTGGGATTTTGTTTCTTGATCCACTCCTCCAGCCTACTTCTTTTGGTTGGTGAATTGAGACCATTTACATGGATGGTTATAACTGATATGTATTGGCTTATTTTTGTCATTTTATTTTTGTGCTGTTGGCTCCTCCTTTGTCCCTCTATTTAATTGCTTGCTCTGCTTGGTGGTTCTTTTCTGTTGTTCTTGAAGTTGTGATCTTTTTTTTTTGTCTCTTTCTAGAGTATCTTTTAGTACTCTTTGTAGGTTTGGTTTGGTACTCATGAAGTTCTTCAGTAGTTCTTTATCATGGAAATAGTTTATTTCTCCATTAATTTTGAAGGATAGTTTTGCAGGGTACATCAATATGTGTTGGAAGTTATTTTCTTTCAGTACGTGAAATACTTCACTCCAAACTCTCCTGGACTTCACAGTTTGTGTTGAGAAATCTGCTGTAATTCTGATGGGCTTTCCTTTACAGGTGGTTTCTTTTCTCCAACAGCTTTTAACATTCTGTCCTTTTCTTGAATTACTGGGATCTTGATCACCGTATGTCTGGGTGTAGATTTATTCTGGTTATAGCTAATTGGAGTCCTATATGCCTCACTTAACTGTATGTCCAATTCTTTTTCCATGCTTGAGAAATTTTCTATTACTTCTACAAATACTCTTTTATATCATTTGTATGGATACCTGCTGTTTCACTGACACCTATTAATCTTACATTGTTTTTCTCTGCTTCATCTTGCATCTTTTGGATTATTTACTGGTTCCTTGTTATTTTTAAGAGATACTTCCTTTCACGGTCATTAGCAGCAATGTTGTCTTCAAGTTCGGAAAGTCTATCTTCAGTCTTGTTCGAGTGGTTTTGCCAGTTTTCGATGGAAGTTTTAATTTCCTTGCTATCCATTTAAATGTTTCATACATTCGTTCTTTCCTATTGTTCATTCAAGATTTCCAGTTTTCTATGCTCCTCTATTTTCTCTTCTATGTCTTCTTTAGATGTACTAAGTAATTCTTTCATTACTGTTGTCATTTTTTACCTGAGAGATTATTTCTGACCTGATGTCTTGTAGGGCCTGATGGAGTTATTTCTTTATATGCTATCACTTCAGAAATTTCAGGTGTATGACTTCCAAGCTCTTCTGTGTTGATGTCTCCTGGACTTGTTCTGGGTGGGGTGGAAGTCTGAGATTGCACTTTGTTCCTTCATTTTGTCATTTTTGAAGATCCAGAGGTTTCCTAGCACTCAGCCTCAGTCCCCAGATAATGTGGGAGTAGCGGGTCAAGGACCCAAATTTCCCTGGTGTTGTGTGGCTCCCTTGATGGTGTGGGGGGTAGGGTGTGATTCTTGATGCTCCTGCAGCTGTTCGGGGCTCAGCTTGCCTCCCACTCAGGGGTTTCCAAAGCTGTCTGGATTTCAGCCCTGTTTGTACAAGAGTTTAGGACTGGGCAGGTCATGGTCATTGAGGTTTGAGACAGCTGGTTTCCATGCCAGTGGTGTGGTGAGCATGTGGTCACTGAAGCCTTGGAAACTGAAGTTCAGCTTGGCTCCCTTGAAGGTGTGTGTGGCGGGGCAAGTGGCCACCCAGGGCCCTGAAACTGGGGTTTCACCTGACACACACTGGTGGGAAGGGTGGGGGTGGTTCAGTGGTGTTCCTAAAGCTGCTTGGAGTTCAGCCCCACTTCTACAAACGTGCATGAGGTGGAAATAAGGTTGCAGTCACCAAAGCCTGAGATGCTGCCTGGGACCCTGCCTTGTTGCCACGCCAGTGGGGGAGGGGTGAAGGCACAGTCACTGAGGCTGCTGAAGCTGAGGTTCACCTGGGCTCCTCTGTGGGGGTCAGTAAGTGGCCTCCAAGGCCCCTGAAGTTGTTTGGGGCTCCATCTGGCTCCCACACTGGTAGGGGAGTGGTGGGGGCAGCTCACCGTTGCTCCAGAAGGTGTCTGAGTTTGATTTAGGCTCCTGTGAAGAGGGGCGGCAAATTGTCCCTCAGGCCCTTGAAGCTGTCTGGGGCTCTACCTGTCTCCCACACTGGTGGGAGACTCCCCACTTTTAAATTTTTTGTTTTAGGTTTTTTGTTTTTGGCAGTACTAGGGTCCACACCAGCACCTTTGAAATGAGCTACATTTTCAAGGTTGGGCTCACATTTAATGATCCTCCTGCCCCAGCCTTCCAGAGTGCTGTGACACAGGCATGTACTACCACCCCAGGCTTAATTATTTTGTAAACTGACTTAGGGAAGATTTTCTCCCATGTAAATTTTCTAATACACAAGAACTGGTACATACATTTGGAAGTTTTTATGTGGATTAGGCACAGTGGTCTGTTTGTGTTGTAATGAAAACAGATCACAAATACAACTCAACAGAGTAGGTATTTCTCACATAAAGTAAAAATGGAGAACTTTGGAAAGAGTTGGGAAGATCTGTTTCCTCCAACCAATTTCTTCTGTGTCAAATTTTGGTGGCATTCTACTACATATGGCTCACAAGACCATCAAAGGTGTCAGTTATACTTCAGTCCAAGTGGGTATAAGAAATTAGAAAGGATGTTATGAACAGTTGTGTTCTCATTGTTGTTGCCAGACTTGGTAATAATGTTCATGACATCTGTTTATATTCTCTTAAACAGAGCTCAATTACATGGGCCCAAACACATGAAAAGGAGACCGAGAAGTACAAGCTTTGTTGAAAAGGAAAAAAACAATGAAGTTTAGACAATATGCAGCCAGTCTCTGCTATACAGGATTACTCTCTTTTGTGAGTTTTGAGGTGCTTGCTAAGGTATGACTTTTTGCTGAAGGTTTTCCCACATTCATTACATTTATAGGGTTTCTCTCCAGTGTGGGTTCTCTGATGCGCAATGAGCTGTGACTTATACAAAAAGGTTTTAGCACATTCATTACATCGATAAGGCTTTTCCACTATATGGGTTTTCTGATGGGGTGTAAGCAGTGACTTATAGTAGAAAGATTTTCTACATTCCTTACATTCATAGCGTTTCTCACCTTTATGACTGCTCTGATGTAATATGAGGCCTGACTTCCGTTTGTAAGTTTTCTTACATTCCTTGCATTCATAGGGTTTCCCAATAGTGTGGGTTTCCAAATGGACAGTAAGTTGTGACTTCTCACGAAAAGACTTCCCACACTGTTCGCATTCATATGGTTTCACACCAGTGTGAATTCGCTGATGTGTGCGGAGATTTGATTTCCGGTAAAAGCTCTTCCCACATTCTTTACATTCATAAGGTCTGTCCCCTGTGTGAGTTCTCAAGTGTTCAACAAGGCATGACTTCTGGTAGAAAGTTTTTCTACATTCTTTACATTCATATTCCTTCTCATTTTTGTGAGTTTTTTCATGTCCATTTAGGTGTGACTTTGAGATGAAAGTTTTCCCACATTCATTACATTCATAGGGTTTCTCTCCAGTGTGTGTTCTCTTATGAACACTAAGACGTGACTTCTGGACAAAGGATTTTGTGCATTCATTACATCTATAAGGCTTTTCCCCTGTGTGACTTCTCTGATGGATTATAAGGGTTGATTTATGGCAGAAGGATTTCCTACATTCTTTACAATCATAGGGCTTCTCACCTTTATGTCTCCTCTGATGTAAAATGAGGCCTGCCTTGCGTGTATAACTTTTCTTACATTCTTTACATTTATAGGGATTCTCGATTTTATGACTTCTTAGATGTAAAATGAGGCTTAATTTCTCTGTATAAGTTTTTTTACATTCATTACATTCATATGGTTTCTCACCTATGTGAATTTTCTGATGTACAGTAAGTTGTGACTTCTCACGGAAAGACTTCCTACACTGTTCACATTCATATGGTTTCACACCTGTGTGAATCTTCTGATGCGTGCTGAGATTTGATTTACGGTAAAAACTTTTTCCACAGTCTTTACATTCATAGGGTCTGTCCCCTGTATGAGTTCTGAGGTGTTCAATAAGGCCTGATTTATGATTGAAAGTTTTTCTACATTGTTTACATTCATAGAGTTTCTCTGTTTGGTGAATTCTTTGATGTACAGTGAGGACTGACTTTTTGTAAAAAGTTTTCCCACATTCATTACATTCATGGGGTTTCTCTCCAGTGTGAGTTCTCTGGTGTTCACTGAGTTTTGACTTCTGGATATAAGTTTTTGTACATTCATTACATCCATAAGGCTTTTCCCCTGTGTGAATTCTTTGATGGATAATAAGGCGTGACTTAAACCTGAAAGATTTCTCACACTCATTACACGCATAGGGTTTTCTCACTCTGTGTATCTTCTGATGTATTATTAGATCTGACCTGGTTATGAAAGTTTTCTCACATTCACTACACTCATAGAATTTCTTCCCTAGCTCCACTTGCCAGTTCCTGGGATTAAACTTTTTATACAAAGTTTTCTTCTGTACCTGAGTTATCTCTTTATGAAGGATAGCTGATTTATAGGTTTTTCTATGTTTACTGTATTTACAGGCCTCTCCATTATGAATCTTATGTTTTAACATTGCCTCCCTACTGAATGTTTTCTCTTGTCTACTACCTTCAATGTCCTGCTGCCCTGTCTGTATTCCAGGATGTTGACTAAGATTATCTGAAACTCTCAGGAGTCTCCCAGTTGTTTTAACAGCCATAGACTTCTCTGTATCACACATCTCACCAGGCTCATCAGAAGGCATGTTTAGATGTATATCCAACTCCTCAGACATCAGTACTGAACAGTTTCTACTCTTCATAATCATTTTGGAAATATGGTTTGAATTCAAATTAGATATTTTCTCTAATTCACCAATCTCCACAGCTGATGTGTTACTGTTGATTACAAACTGCTGAAAATGTCTGTCTTGACTTTTCTGGTTTCTCTCAATTTGGTCATCTGTTTTCTTGAAATCTAAAATAAAATGAAAAATTACATATAAAGACAAATGTATGAATCATACCTAGGCATGTCTTCTGGAATGTTCATGTAATGGTAAAGAAGTTTCTCCCAGTCATGGTAACATGCAGTTTGAAAATATCAATGAGTATTGCTAATTTGAGTGTATAGGGTTTTTTTCACTACTGACTTAAGATAATAAATTACATTGATAGCATTTTAATATTAAATCCTATTTTCTTTGCATCTTTAATTTTTTTAACTCTTGAAGGAATCTGTGGCAAAAATATCCATCTACCACTCTGCTTAGTGCTTATGACCTATGATTATCTTCCTTGTTTTATCTTTTTTTTCTCTACTTTATTCTTAAAACAACGGTGGATGTCTTATACGGCTATTTTTTTCATTATTAAGCTTTAAAGATGACAAGATTTTCCTGCAGCTACCTGAGGACTAGTTGTCTGTTCCCTAAACAGGAACCATGTTTCAGGGACAGAATTTTGCATCTATCTTGTTCAGTCTTTATTTTTCCTTGGAGAACAGCTATAGTCATCTGGGTGATGTTTTTTTTTTTTTTTTTCAAATTAATAAATTTTTTGGCTATGCTAGAGTGCTTCCTTCACAATGCTAAAACAACATGTGCCCTCTGTTTCACCAAGAAACCCTGTTTCTTAGTATCCACCACCCTAGGTATGTCTCTGCTAACCTAAAGGATTTGGTTCTGCAATAGGCTATTCTCACTATTTTAAGAAGGTATTCTTCTTGTTCCTTCTGTGATAAACAGTGCTGCCATTCTCCTACCAAATCCTGGTACAAACATACTGCTTGGCATTTCATTGCTACTGAAACTATTATTCTCTAAAATAGAATTTCAGTTGTCTCCTGGTTTCATAGAAAAAAGGGTCTCATATATTTCTCATTTACTTTCCTGTTTTTTAGTAATTTGCAAAAGAGAAAAGTCCTAACTTCAAACTCCATTTCCAAATGAAAATCAGAACCATTCAACATGAAACACCTGGTTCACTTGCACTGGGGTGCAGAATCCTGGTTTCCCCCAAATCCAGGACAATCATTTTCCCAGCTTCTATGCTGGATTCTCTCCAGTTTCATGTTTTTTAATGTCATGTTACATACATCTCATTTCTGACCCGTTTTTATTTTCTTTTCAACTCTATAGGTGACCACCTCTATGGTTTTAAATAGCATTTTTAAACTATTAATTTTAAAACTTTTACCTTTAGTAATGATATCTAAATTTTTCACTCACCTGTACTAGAAAAATATGTCAAAATTGGAAGAGTCAAGTCAAACTGCCAAAATTAACTTAGAAATCCTCCTAAAACAGCCTTCTTTAACCATTCTTCCCAAGTTGTAACATCCTATTTCTTTCTCTCAGATTCTGGTTACATGTTGCTTGTGATTCTTATTCAACTACTTATCATACATTATTTCTTATTTCTCTCTTATTAGAATGTAAATTTTAAGAGAGAGGTACATTATTCTCACAGTTGCTTTGTTTAAAGAATAAAGGAAACACATGAATCAATTCTGAAAAAATACTCCATGAGAATGAAGGAAAAGAGTGTATCTGAGAATATTGGGAAACTGGAAAGAAAAACTCCTTAGAAAAGAAAGAAAATCAATTTTAGGTAACTCTAATATTGAACAAAATAAAATTTAAGAGGTTGCAAGCATGAACACCTTCCTTAAAAACTACGTAATAATGTGTTTGATGCATGTACATTAGCTATATCCTCAGGTCTAAAAACTACAGGAAGCATGGGTTAAAGCATGTCATCACTGCCAACAACTGCTAGGCTTTACAATTTCAGCTTCTGTGGCTAATATGCATAAACCAACCTGGGAGGATCTGGTTTGGGAGTCTGTCTACTATCCATGGCTCTGCTCCTTGCTCCAGCCTAAAGATCACATCAGGTTTGGTGATGCAGTTTCCTGTGAACAACAATGCAGGAGTTTACAAAACTACTGCATCAAGAAAGAAAGTTGTCTCTAAAGAAACTGTCTCTAAAGAAAGACAATTTCAACTTGGTTTGAGCTTTGTCCCAAAGAAGGGGCCATTCTCAATCTTTCAAATAGAAGGGTAACATTCACATTCTTCATGGACTGGAATCTTACATTTAAATCATACTAAACTTATGAATGGCTCCTATATTTACCAACAAAGAAAACATGTGGCTCCTGCGAGTTACTGTGGAGGTTTGCTCACCCAGTGACATCAGGTTGCTGTAGGTCTCCAACATCACGTCCTTGTACAGAGTCCTCTGAGCATCATCCAAGTTCTGCCACTCCTCCCAGGTGAAGTACACCACCACATCTTCAAATGACACCATGCCCTGGAATAGAACATTTCTCCTCAACCTAACTCATCAGCCCTGGGTCACCAGAATAGGAATCTGGCAATTTACCCTTTTATGTTTTATATGCATCTCACTTAAGGTGGAGCTTTCTTTTAGTCTATAAGGTGGGAGAAGAAAAAGAAAAGTAACCTACTAGTACTGACAATTACTACCAATACTATTACAAAATTTACCTTATATATCTAGAACCATCCTTGTTGCCCTAAAGATAAACATGGATAAATTCTGTGCTTCTAAAGCTGTTATAATCTGATATGAAGACACAGGTATGAATACATACCCAGAAAAATAAGTAAACAGACACAAGTTCAATGTATATTGGGATGACAAAGTTCTACTTTGTGATATGAGGTTGTACTTCACTGCCACACCAAGATATTTAGCTTTGCCATATAAACCACATGTCAGCATGAGTATGAGGGAAGAGAAGACACAAAGCAACAAACCACATTACCAAAATTTCACAGACCACCATGCCTAGGGTGAAGGCCTTGTGGCAGGATGAGATAAATGAACTCTTAAAGGAAACCTCTATTAAGTGATTCTAAATTTAAAACCTGAGCCAATTTCAAAAATAAAACATTTTATGTACTCATGTCTTTTAATCAAATTATACATTAACAACACATACATATGCTCCCAAAAGATTGTGCCAAACTATTGCTTGTGTATACCACACAGTGAACACTGCTACCTCCCTAGCAATAAGATGTAGGTAATGACACCCTTTAACAGTGGTGGCAAACCTGTGACACATGTGCAGTGGAGGACATGCAGAGTCCTCTGTGATGCTGTCATGAGTTGTATGAGGTTTCTTTTAAACTTAAACCTCAGTATTCAGGTTTAGTTGCAGTGTTGGCACTTTGGGATAAGTAAGTGGGTTCTGAGTTACAGTTTGAGGACTTGGTCTCTTAAAAGGTTTACCATCACTGTTCTATAAGAACTGTAGAATAGCAAAAAGGAGTTTAAGGAAAAACCGCTGGAATAGGAAATGGGGTTAGATTATCATCTGCACCAGGGCAGACAGGAGTAAATATCCATAATAGGGAAATAATTCTAAAAGAAAACATAGAAAAGTGAAAGCTGGAACAGAATATGGTATTAAGTTGATGAACAGAGTTTCATATGGGGTGTATGACCTCCACACTATATGCACAGAGATAGGTACTACTGCTGAAAGCGAAATTTAGAAAAAGGAAGAATAGAAAGGGCATAAATGGAAAGACTTGTATACATCTTAGTGGAAAGAACTGATGTCTCACATGTGGGATTTCCAACTAGGAACTAGATGTAATTCTGGAATTCAGGAGAGATGTCAGCAACAAATTAAAACTAAAGAGACTGAAAAATCAAAACTCTTCTTGGATCTGTAAGAGTAGGGATGACAAAGAGCAAACTGCTTCCCCAAAGACTGGAGAAACAGACTAGCAAACATAGGGAGTTTTGGTTTACAGGAACAGTGGCTCAGTAGCAGAAAACTTCATAGGAAACAGTGTTAGAGTAGGAAAAACTAAATTCTAACTGATGAACTTCTGGAGGCTCAAAGCAGACAACTCTCAGAGTTAAGAACACCAGGATACCCACTGCCACATCAGTGTGAAATTTATTTCCAGGAACTCAACCAGGCTTCCCACATAAATATTGGAGAATATATCTCTCCTCAGGAATCTACTTAGAGGAGAACAATTTGAAAGTTGCCACACTATTTTTTTTTTTTTTTTTGGTCTTTTTGAGACAGGGTCTCGCTATGCAGTTCAGGCTGCCCTTGAGCTCACTTTGTAGCCCAGGCTGGCCTCAAACTCTCAACGATCCTCCTGCCTCAGCCTCCCGAGTGCTCAGATTACACGGGTTCACCACCACGCCTGGCTACTTTGTTCTTAACAAGATAAACTGACCCTAACCTGCTGTAATATCGTCAAGGCCTAAAAAAAATGGGTGAATGGGTATTTTGACAGGAGCCACAGATAGCTCTAGCTTTCTGCAATGGAGAAGAAAAATGCCCAACTCTTGCTCATGTCAACCCTCTAAGGGAGGAGGGAAAAAAATAAATTGAAAACAACTGGAGAAGTTTAGAGTCTCAAGAACAAACTCACTAAAAGAATGAGACCTAATTATAAGACTACAGAAAACTTCTATTGGGACCTGAATATTTATGTTCCCAATCCAAATCCCTATGGTGAAAGCTAATCTCCTACTTACTAGAGTTAAGAGATGAGTCTTTGGGAAACAGAGGCACCCCATGACTGAGATTAGTGCTCTTACAAGAGACTAAAGTAAGCTTCTTTGTTCCTTCCATTATGTGTGAAAATAAAGCAGACAACATCCATGGGAACCAGGTCCACACCAGACAATAAATCTCCTGGTTACTTGATCTTAAGACTTCAGAAGTATAAACAACAAACTTTATTGGTTTATAAATTATCCACTCTAAAATATTTTGTTGTACTAGCTTGAGCAGACCCAGAAAGTAACCTATTTGTATGTTAACCTTGTATCCCTCAATCTGGGCATAATCACTGATTAGAAGTTTTTTTAATGATCTAGCACAGAACAGAATGCAGGTTACCAGGATCTGAGGTTAAAAGGAATGGCAAGGTGTTGGCTAAAAACCACAAAATATGGCATATGAAGTACAGCATGTATAAATCCCTGGTATGTAATGTACAAAATAGAACATGTAATTAATAATATTGTACTATATGTATAAATATACATTAATCAGATTTTATTGTATATTTTAACATGTCAAATATTTCTCATGTAAAATGGTATTAGCGTATTATCACATACAAAAAAAAGGAGGAAACTTCTGGAGGGGCCGGTTATAGCTGTGAAACTTAAAATATTCAGGAAGATAGCAGAAGAGAAGTAGCTTTTGTCTGACCCTGTGACTGAGAAGAATCAGCACAACAAAGGAGAAACTATATTCCAGGTGAGAAAAGTGAGAACAAGTCTGGGAACAAATAAACAAATGAGTAGAAACCTCAACAGCATAGGGAATCCAAAATGAAATGCAGAGAACGTTACTGGGTGATTCATAGGTACAGCCTGGCTTCCGGGATCATGGGTGGGAAACCTAATGCCACAAGTGTAAGGTAAGCTGGGAGCATAATCAACCCAATCTGAACAAATGCCTGGTAGTCTATCTGCAAGAGAAATCCACAGTGCATATAAGCCTTAATCCAATCTGGGGGTTTGGTTTGAGAGTGACACCACCTATGCACTAAGCCTAACATTAAGCTTAAAGGAGAAAGCTATCATACAGTTCAGGGAACTCTTAAAGGCCATCATAAGACTATTCCTGCTATTAAGGACTACACTTCTGTAAGGGTTGGAAGGTACACAGTGATCATAACTCAGTGTCCACGTGGACATTATACTGTATTGCCTGTGAGAGAAGGCCATGCTAGACAGTCTTGGCTAAGTGAAGTGTCTGAGAGATTTGAGCAGCAAGGGAGCACAGGATCTGATGAAGAAGGGAAGTGAGAGTACAGCAGTCAGTGGTGGAGCAAAACCAGTGGTGTGGTGTTGAGAGAAGCCAGGTTAGAGAGCACTGAGACAGAAACTGGGAGATCATGTGGTTCCCAAGGCACCCCCCTTTCAGTGAACAACTCAGTAGTTTGACAGCTCCTCTACCTTTGAGTGTTTTTCAGGGCCATACTGCAAAGGTTGGGATATCTGCACTGCCTCAGGCTGTACAGTCTTGACTCACCCAGGCTGAAAATATGCCCAACCAAAGCAATCCTGAGCAAAAAAAAAAGTAATCCTGGGGTCATCAAAATACCTGACTGGAAAATGTATTACAGAGCCACAGTAACAAAAATAACATCATATTAGCATAAAAACAGACAAGTAGACCACTGGAATAGAATAGAGGACTCAGAAGTAAACCCACACATACATAGCCATCTGATTATGGACAAAGGTACCAAAAAATGTAAGTTGAAGGAAAGACTGCCTTTAACCAGTGGTGTGAGGAAAACTGGATATCCACACGTAGGAAGATAAAGTGAGATGTTTCTTTCACCCTGTACAAAAAATCAACTAAAAATGGATCAAAGATCTTAAAGTAAGACATAACACTTTGAAAACACAAAGGAAAATACAAGCAAAACACTTCAAGATATTAGCTCAGACAAAGATTTCCTGAATAGGACTTCACTTGCTCAGGAAATAAGGGAACAATTCACAATTGGGATTGTATCACATTAAAAACTTCTACATGGCAAAGAAAACAATAAACAGTGAAGACACAACATACTGAATGACAGAAAACTTTTGTCATATATATCCAGAATATACAAACTCAAAAATGTAAATAAAACATGTAATCCAATGAATAAATGGGCAAATGATCTAACCAACACTTCTCAAAAGAAACACAAATGGTCAATAAACATGAAAAAGTGCTAAACATCTTTAGCCATTAGGGCAATGCTAATTAAAACTACCATAAGATTCCATCTCTCTCTGGTCTGTATGGCTGGAGAGGATGTGGAGGGAAAAGAACCTTGATACACTGATGTATTGAAATGTAAATTAGACAGTCAATATAGAAAACAGTATTGAGGCTCCTTTAAAAACTAAAACTAGCACTACTACACAATCCAGCTATATCACTCTTAGACATATACCCAAGGGAAACAAAGTCACCATACATAAGAGATACCTACCCACACAAATTTAGAGAGGCACTATTTATAATAGCCAACTTATGGAATCAACCCATGCACTGAGTAAAGAAATATGGTATATATACACTACGCAGTATTTACCCATAATGAATGAATGAAAAGTTAGTTGCAGGAAAATGGATGAAACCAGAAGGAATCATGTCAAGTGAAATCAACGATACAGAAAGGCAGGTATCACATGTTTGCTTTATAAGAAAAAATATAAATAACTAAAAATGAAGAAGATCTGAAAGTAGAAGGGGGGCTAATAGGAAAGGAAAAGGGGATGGGGATGTGAGTAGAAAGAGTAGATTTTAACAAAGTGCAACATAGGTAAGAAAACCCAATATAAATTAGTAAGAAAAAATTTAAAAAGGATTTTTAAAAAGTGAAATGTTCAGTTAATCAAGATGTTACTTTTCATTTTAAACCAATTTTTAACTATAATTCTAGCCCATAAACAAATATAACTGATGCACACATACCTTTCTCCCTACTCATTTTAACCAGCTATCTAAAGTAGGAGTATTAAATCTTTAAATGTTTTCAAAAATGCAACAGGTATTTTTGAATTATGAACATACAATTAAAAATAGAACTAAAAGGGGCTGGGGATTTAGCTCAGTGGCACAGAGCCTGCCTGGAAAGCACAAGGTTGTGAGTTCGACTCCTGGTACTGGAAAAAAACCAAAAAACCAAAACTAAAAACAAAAACAAAACCTACAAAAAAAGAATGAAACTTATATAAGGGTAAAAGTTATACATCAATGCTTCTTGATGTATTACTTTGCATATCTTTTTATGACTCTTGTTCATACATATTCCAACTAATTCCTCTATACCTTCTCATTGTGGACTACTAAGGATGTCACCATACATGCTAGCTGAAAGCACAGTTCACCAAGACCAAACCTCATCACCCAATAAACATACCTTTGAGGTGTTTTGTTTTGTTAACACCAAAGAACTTCTCTCCTTACACTGGAATTTTATGCAGATAATAGAGTAAAAGGAAAACAATAAACAAAGAGGAGTAGCAAAACCTGACACCAGATGAAATGAGACCTGAGAAGGGAGGAGTTCACAGGAAAAAAAACCCATTTTAGTGATTTGGATCACTAGCTGGAGGGTGGCAGTAACACTAAAAGGGAAGAAAGGACAATAGGGTTTTCACTTGGGATTTGCTGATCTTAAGATGCTTTTTGGATAGCTACAAAGAACTGATGTCTAAAGGGCAAGAAGAAGTCTATCCTGGAGAGAAATAAATAGGAGTGTCAAACCAAAGAGAGCTGAACTAAACAAACAGAATTGCAGATTATGATGGATGGAACATATGGATGGCCTTTGTTAGCAACAAGAAAGCAGAATAATTCAGTAAAAAAGAGAAGCCATCAGCAACAACATAATAAAAACTACCCACAGAATAATTTTTGGAGGATTGTGACTAGTAGTTTCAAATATGGCAGACGATTCATTAAGGCAAAGCCTAAAGAACAATTATTGTATCTATGTCTTTAGGTTACTGGTGAGCTTAGAAGAAATCAGAGTATTCACTGAGTGAATTAAAATGCAAATGAGCAGTGGGAATTTGCCAGGAAATACAACTTTATATATTGTACTATACACACTGCACATACAAGTGAACTGAGAAAAATGTATGGTTACTTAAAAGACCCATGCTTGATAAAATCCTACCAACATTCCAGGTTTTATCTGGAGTTAAGCTCAAAAGCAGTCTGGGACCATGCCAGTTGAGCAACTCCAGAAAAATTTATGTAATAAATTGTACTTGGGGCTGGGGATTTAGCTCAGCAGCACAGCGCCTGCCTGGCAAGCTCGAGGTCATGAGTTTGATTCCTGGTACCAGAAAGAAAAACCAAAAAATAAATAAATGAATAGATAAATTGTGCTTTACCTCCTGGTAACTCTATAGCAAAATGCCAAGGGTTTTTTTTCCAGGTTGGTAGTGACAAACATTCTAGTGTATTATCTATGTATCCACATAAGACAGTAGTTCAGACTGACACCAGCAAGTTTTCATGTCCCATGAAAACTTAGCATGTTTTCCTCTCCAGTTCCATTCATCATGTAACAAACATGCCTTACTTTCTGTCACCATAGCAGAAAGACCACAGATTAATATGCCCTCCAACTGCTCCATGCTAAGATCTTGTAACACACCTGTATTGATATGCCAACTTGATCCCATTATGTTCACTTCCTTGAAGCTGAGGTTTACTATTTCTACTTTTCCATTTCAATTTTTGGGCCTCATAAGACTCATAAATTCAATATAAAACAAAAGGAAGAATAAATAAACAAAAAAACTCCTGGGAAACTTTTTTGTTGCTCACGCAAAGCATGGAGAGCTCTGGAAGCACAGATGGGAGAGAAGGCAAATGGAGTGGATTAAGGAGAGAACTGGTGTAGCTTGGTCTCCCCAAAACATTTCTACATATTAATTGGAAAAGATTTTAAAAATTATTTAACTAATTAGATACATAGACATATTGTACCTACTTGTTTAGCAGTGATTAATGTTACATAGAGATGCATTTACAATTTAAGCCAAAGAAAAAAGTGTTACGTTTTCACTAAAATTACCTTTATGGAAATTAATTTGGACTATATAAACTATTTCTTGCCAATCTGAGAATCCACAGTGGATACCATCTGATTAATTCCAGTAAAACACATTCTGCTGTTCTATAACTAAACATCACGGAAAGTGTACTCCTTGCAAAAGTATTTCCTGTGTACACTGTATATTTCCTGGAGTACACTGTTCTATTAATGCTTCCCAAAGATAGCTCTGCCTTTCAATCCTTATATGGTATGTTCTGACAACAAATTGGGCTCTGTCAGTTGACCCGCTTTGGTCAATGGGCTATTAGAAAATGTGATGCAAATATCAGTTTGAAAAGTGCTTGATCGCTAGCACTTGCCTCCTTAGATATATATAGTCTTACTGACGAGGAAAGCCTCATCTGTGATCCTAGAAACACCAGCACAGAAACTGCTCAGGTAAACACACTCCAAAACAGAGGTCCACAGAATTTTGAAGAGATAGTGTTCCTCACTTTGATTTTACATGAAACATGCTGATATAGTTAAGCCAGGAGAACTCAATGTTTTTAATGAAATTAACATGCGGGAGAGTCTTAAATCACAACAACATACCTAAATTTTCAAAAGCACAATCCACTGGAGGACTCTCAGGTGAGATTGCTGGTTCTGAGACAACTGTCTGCACATCAGTAAACTATGTCTTAAATTGCTTGTATCATAAACAATCTGTTTAAAAAAAATAAAAAGGGTTTGTTACTTATAAGTGAACCTTGTAGTGCATTTACATTTTCAGACACTGGTTTGAAGTTGAAGTGTGATGCAGTCTAATCCCACCATTTTTAATACAGTAAAATAGGACCCTAAAATTGTCTGCAGAATTTATGATTTCGAAGAACAATTTAATGATATTAAGTGGGAAACATTTGTGTTATCTCAGCTTTGAAAGCCAAATAATTTGCAGAAAGTGTTGAAATAAAATAACAACAGAAATATTTAAGGCAGGTGTGTGCAACTCAAAGCCTATGGGCCACATTCGGCCAGAGATCATAAACATTACCTGATATTTAGTGATAGTGTGAAATGGAACATTGTACAAGAGGGTGAAATGCAGTGCTAACTCTGCCTGTGTGCCACAGTCCATCAAATCCTTTCCTGCATGTATCAGACATTACTTATGTATGTGTGATGTGGTAAGTAAATGCACTGATAATTACTAATAATAGTACCTAGCTATACGTAAGCTTGCCTGTAAGGACAGGTATTTATTGTTACTAAGCAGATATGTAAGTTTTCCTTTAATTATTAAACTTGGGCTTTTTATTTTGTAAATTAATTTAATAAATTAAAATATAAAAAATAAAGGAAGTATTATTACTTATACACATTAACTATCTTATGTATTTTTTTATGTGGCCCAAGACAAACCCTCTTCACTCAGTGCACCCCAGGGAAGTCAAAAGGTTAGACACCCATTGTTTAATGTAAAGTATTTTAAAGCAATGTTGGTCTAAATTGACTTCATTTTAGCAACTCCCTTTATTTCTTTCTCCCCCTTCCTCTCCCCACTCTCTCTTTCTGGTAGTACTGGGGATGGAACCCAGAGCATGAATACTGAGATATATCCAAAGGTGTTATTTTACTTTTTATTTTGAGGCAGTCTTGCTAAGTCACTAAATTGCCAGGTTGGTCTCAAACTTGCAATCTTCCTGCCTTTCCCAGAGTGTTAGGATTACAAGCACACATGCCTGTAAAAATTACAGTGGAAAAATTACAATGGAAAGAAGACTTGTTTTGACATAAGTGTGGTAAAATGGTAACACTGGCCAACATATCAAGGCGTCTGAAATATAAACCATGAGACCTCAACCAACTAATCTCCTAAAATCTATTTTTTTCCCATTTTCTTTATAAATATAACAATATCTTGGCATTCTCTTCTTGAACTAGAGGAAGACTGATCAGAATACAATGAGTATCACACATCTCAGGATGTCAAATTTCGTGGCAGACTATGTTTCAGAGAGCTCAGACCACATAAACAAGATGTAACAATACCAGCGTGTGCGGAAAGCACTGTAAATAGACCTTCTCGCCTGTGACAGTTTGTTTCCATTCCAGACCCTACACCTTCAAGCCCTCTCCAAAAAGTACCATGTCCTACACCCTTGCCTATCCTTCTCAGCCCAGCTCATCCCTCCCTTGCGAATGCTGGTCCAAGCCTGCCAATATCACACAGACTAAGGTAGTTATTCGACAAGCTACTCTCAACCAAACGCATGTATACTACAGTAGGGTCAGTCATTGGTTGGGCTGTGCAAAGTCGGAAGCTTCCTCTTTTTGGGACACTCCAGCCTCTGCTCTACAGCGCTACTAAGCAGGGACAGGAGTTCTTTCAGGTGGAATTCCTGTCCATGCGGCGCCCTTCTTCAAACTTTGTATCATCTCCTTTATTTCAAAGAAAATGGGACCATCATCTCCTACTCGATCTCCCCTGTAGAACTCACTGTCCCTGGATACCAGGTCCTGTATAAACTTCTGCAAATTCAAACTAGGAATTCTGGGGCTGGGGATTTAGCTCAGTGGCAAAGCGCCTGCCTGGCAAGCGCAAGGTCGTGAGTTCGGTTCCCGGTACCGGAGAAAAACCAAAAAAAAAAAAAAAAAAAAAAAAAAAAAAAAAAAAAAAAAAAAAAAAAAAAAAAAATCAAACTAGGAATTCTAGCCAAGCTAATATTAATGGAGTGCAGGAGCACAAAACCCCAGAAATATTACTGCTACACAGCAAGACTTGATCTATCTACACTTGAGCAGGAATTCCTGCGAGTCGAGGAAATGGGCCATTTCGCTAGTAGGGTTAATTCACGCATTTTACCGAGGGGTACGCAGACGTCACATAAAGAGTAACAGGATCCTGCTGTACCCGAGCTGGAATAAGAACTCACTGCCCCCAGCTCGCGCAGTCGGCACACTGTCCCCGGGAACTCCCCCACCCGAACCAGCTTCGATGCACCTGGGAGCACGTCTTCTGCCAAAGCAATCCCGAAGAGCAAGGCTGAAAAGGACTTTTCTGCAGCACTGGACCCGTGGACCGGCCTCGTGTCGCCTCCAAACCCAGCTCGGACCCATGGCCCGCACCTTCACGTCAGGTTCCGCTGCCCTGAAGTACACCATTTCTGCTTCCCCCACATAGGTGGACACCTGTCTTGCTCCCCTGGATTCCCAGAGCCCCGCTCACTCCTCTTTAATCCTTCCACCAACCTTCACAGCCACAAAGTCCAACTCCAGAGAGAATGGAGAGGGAAGCTGAATTTCCGCTAAAAGGCGGAAATGGCACAGTGGCGCACGCGCAGAAGGAATACAAAAAAACAGCCGTTCCCAAGGCCCTGGGCTGGTGACGTCATTAGATGGAGACTACAATTCCCAGAAGACGTTGCGCCAGCAGCTGGCTCAGAAGGAGGATGAATTTATCTTCCCAGTAGCGAGTCCTTTCTAAGAGAGTAGGTTCTGCTCAACTCAGAGGGGTCTCTCTCCTAACTTTACAGGGACCTGGAATTCCGCTTCTTTCAAGTCCTGATTTGACAGTCTGACACATGGAAAACTGGGGAAACTCGAATGTGTCCTAATTACTCAATGACTCTTATTTGTTTTTTGTTTGTTTTTTAAGTTCTTATATAGGTATTGCAGCCATAGAACCCATGCCCTTTTTTGGTGTTATGTTTTGCTTTGATTTGCATGGAAGAAAAAAAAAAAGAAGGAAAACAGGGAGAGAGGGAGGAAGAGAGGGAGTGAAGATAGGCACTTTTTTGATAATCCCGTTGTGAACTACACAAAGAACTACACTAACTGATCAGTTTTACTGCATGGAATTAAAAATTTGTGCAAGATTGTCAAGATAATGAAAAGACAAGCACAGATAGAAAATACTTGCAAAAGATACATCTGAGAGGAATTTTATCTCCAAAATGAAGAACAATTAAAATTCAATAGGAAAATGGCCAATAAAAATGGTCGAAAGAACTAAATACAATTCTGCAGATGAAGCTATCGCTATGGTAAATAAAAATATGAAAAACATGCTGGAATCCTATGCTGTTATGAAACTGCAAATTATGAGAATTTCTTATTGAAGTGACCAAAATGTCAAACAGTGCCAACACCAAGTGCTGGCAAAAAGTCACTCATTGTTGGTCAGATGCAAAATATTGTTACTTTGGAGGACAGCTCAGCAGTTACTTTTAAATATAATTAAACATCACTTTTATGTAAAACCCAGTAATTGTGCACCTTGATATTCACCCAATTTGTTTGAGAACTTACAGTGAGACAAAAAAGCTGTGTACGCCTTTATAAGTGTTTACACATAATTGCAAACATTTGAGGGCAGTGAAGATGTACTTCAGTAGACCCGAAGGTAAACTGTTGTGTATTCCTACACTGGAATATTAGCCTGAGACTTTTTAAAATGAGCTGTCAAGTCAGGAAAATCCATGGGAAAAGATTAAACACACATTGCTGAAATAAGGAAGTCAATCTCAGAAGGATAAATGCTGTTTGATTCCAACTGTACAATTACATGACATTCTGGAAAAGGCAAAAATGTGCAGATAGTTTAAGTAAAAAATCAAATAAACAAGCAAACAACCTGCAGTGATATCCAGGAGTTTAGGAGCAGACTGTGAATAAGTAGAGCATAGGGGATTTTTAGGGAAGTGAAACTATTTTGCATGAAACAATCATAGTGAATATTACATCATGATAGTATAGGAAATAGCTCCAACTAAATAGCACTATGAGTTTGGCATTTCATAAACCCTATGGAATGGTACAAGGGGAGAGTAAAAGATAGTACAAAGTAAGCTATGCACTTAATATTGTACAAAATATTCCATATTCTACAATATGTTAATAGATGAATCAGTGTGTAGGGTGATGAAAGAGAGACTTGAGGGCACATTCTACTTTCTGGCCCACTTTTCTGAAAGCTGTTCTTAACAATATTTAAGTTACTGTGCATGTATGTCTTCATATCATAAAAAAAGTCAAATGAGTGGACACATTAAGTTTCAAGGAAGATTTCTTCATGTAAATACAAGACTGATACAGTAATCATTTTCTTATTTTGCGTTGTGTGTATAGTTACTTGTGTGATTTTAGACATCCACCTTCCGTCTCTTTCCCTACTCAGGTAAACCTTGATGACCACACATATTACTGTTTCAAGTTTTCCAGTATTTGTTTATATCATAACCTTATTTATAAGATGTGTTCATATGTACCTTCAGTAGTCTTGTCATCCTTGTGTTTAATGGTACATTTCTGGAAAGAACATGCACTCTCCTCAATTCCCCTTGCCCTCCATTACCACATAGGTTTTTACTGTGTGTATATGTGTGACAATCACAATAGTAGAAAATAGGAAAAGGAAGATCAGATACATGTCTTACACAGATTTATCAAATATTACATTCTTATCATTTTTGCTTGAATTATTTTGTTGAATTACTCCAAATTGCTACATTAAATTAAAAATATATCACTGTAAATGTTTCAGTGTATATCTTTTTTGTTTTTGTTTGTTTGCAGTACTGAAGATTAAATGCAGGGCATTCACACTGAGCTACCTGCCCAGTGCCTTTTTTTTTTTTTTTTTTTTTTAGACAGGGTCGTTCTGTTTTTCTCATGAAAAAGCTAGGCTAGGCTAGAACTTGTGATTCTTTTGCCTCAGCCTTTCAGAGTTCTGTGATTACTGGCATGTACCACCAACACCCAGCTTTTAGAATATATATTTTTAAAATGTGAAGAATTTTCTATTTTAATCACATACTACTTTTATAACCCTAAGAAAAATACCAGTTATTTTCCTTAATTTTTCTAATGTCCAGTTATATTGGTAATTCCCCAACTGTTAAACTGAGTACAGCTGTTTGTTTTTTTTCCCTTTAACCAGGACTTAAAGGATAGTCCCTTGAATCCTTGGAATACTGTCACTTATGTTGTTTCTCACTCATATTCTTCGACCTGCCAGTAAGGTGGGGAATAAAAATCAGTTTTTAGGATGCAGAACTTTGTGCGAATTATAGCTTTTGATGTCAGGGGCAGGGCGTGCTGCATTGTGGGAACAGATCTTTGCTATCTCTGTGCACTACTGCAGAGTCATTCCTGCCATAATCATCAGCCAGTTAAGCAGGTGAATGTGGAAGTCCTTGTGGCATGGGACCTGTGCTAGACAGTGCCTCAGCCTTGGTTCAGAGCTCAGTGACTGGGCTCCATGTGTTCCAGACACTGCAGGACAGTGAGTTGGGTGCTGGGCAGGGCTGGGGCCTTATGTGGCCCAAGGGGCCTTCTTCTACCCCAAATACCAACCTCAGCCAGTTGAGGACCAGAAGTACAGGATTGCCATGCCCAGTGAAGACATACACGGATAACGCTGGAGGTTGGAGGAGTAGGAACAAATGATGTTATTTTCAGAAATCCCCATGTAACCTTCGATTGCTATCCTCATTACCAGACACCTGTCCCCATCGCTTGGTATTTTATTACATCATCAGGATGATCGTGTTTTTTATTGTCATGCCTGATCTGAGAAAGACCTTCCCAATAAACATGATGCCCTACGAACAACCATGCTGCCTTCAGCAAACAGAACGGATGGTCATGAAGAAATTTAGGACTGGACCTGCAGTCTCTCTGATGCCAGAAGCTTTGTGGGCACACCTGTGCTGATCATCCTTGCAGCTTTGACCTCAAACATTCCATCCAGATTCTTTGAGACTTCGACTCCCAACCCCAAACCCTATATATGCTTAGCCTCCCCTCCAGATATTCACTGGTATCCTCCAGTTTCAGCCTGCTTGTACCTAGACAGAATTAAATCTATTCTTTCCCACAGGCTTGATCTCCCAGTGTTTCCTACCGTGCCATTAATTATATTTGGTGCATGAAACCCAGGACAAGAGAGGGTCCCTCATGAGAGGGTACTACACCCTATCTTGAGCCTTTTTCCACTGAGGTCACATGGTGACACTGATTCCAGACTTTGCTGTACTGTTGCAGGCAGTTTCTGCTCACTTCACACCCAGTAAGACCTCTTTATACTTTTAACAATCTTTGTGCCCTTAAGCATCCCCTATGTGCTGCTGCCACCAACTTAGCTCTGTACCTTTAACTGTCTCTGTGCCTGACCTTCTCCCTCACTGCTGCTGGCTACTCCCTAGTTCTGCTCCTCACCAAGGCCTGAGACAGACAAAGGCTCATGTCTGTCTCAGTTACTTTTCTCTCATTGCTGGGACAAAATACCTGACACACAAAGTTAAAGAGGGAAACATTTACTAGGTCACAGTTTGTAGTGGTTTCAGTCCATAATTAGCTGGCTCCAAGGCAAAGTGGCACACGGCAGAGGGGCAATCATTTATGGGAGCAGAAAACAGCAAATGCAACCAAAGGAAGAGGAAGAGAGAAGACTATTTCTGTCCCTTATATTGTATGCAGGTTACTCATCCTGGGGTGGGTGGAGCACTCACATCCATAATCCCAGCACTGGACCATGAATCAGTCACAAACTGTAGATTCAGCCACATCCAGACACAAACCATAAAAGTGCCTTTAAAGCTAATGCTCTCCAGGGAGACAGGCCCCCCTTGGTGGCTGATCAGTTGTGGTGATGAATGCTTTGCTCTTTCACCCATGCTCCCTATTGCTTTGGGTACAACTGAAGCCACTCACTAGGGCCCTGATGCTGCTCTTATTTTGCCACTCCAGGCAGGACAGTTACCTCTCTCTGCCCTCCATTGGGAACATTCCTCCTTCTATCCCCCTTTCCTGCTCATCTTGTCTCTTAAAAAATCTGAACCATTTCCATCTCCACCCTAATCTGAAGCCTAAGCAGCTAATATTTTTCTGCAACACTGCATGGCCATGATACACATTGGAAAATGGTTCAAGGTGGCCAGAACCCAGGACTTTTGATCTCTCCATTCTGTGGGATTTAGACAATTACTACTGGAGGCTAAACAGGTGGTCAGAAGTCCTATACACACACAGGTATTCTTTACACTCCATAATATTTTCACTTTGTGCACCTCATGGGATCCCTCTCAAATTCTTTCTGTCCCATCTATACCCACTTGACAAGACGTAGACTCTCTCTGATGACAAATCCAACTGATTTTCTCTCCCCTGGCAGTATCTGCAAACTCCCACCCCTACTGCTGCTTCATCTCCTCGGGAACCCCCTGCTGCTACAGCTGCACCCTCCCTTCTCTGGATCCTTCTGCTGCTACAGTGGTTTTTTCTCCTCCTCTAGAGTTTCCCACTGTTGCAGCTGCTCCCTCCCCTC